TGGACTGCAGGCTAGCTAAGGCAGATGGTTAGCTTAATATCAGCACATACTGGGTGCCATTTTAAATGATGTATAAGGAAAATTATGTATCATCTATTGGGGAAAAAAGAGCAGAAAATGAAAAGCAATAAAATTTTGAATCTTAACTATTTCAGAAATTGTTTATTCTTTTACTTCAGTGAAGTCGCCGCTATGGCTAAGGCGACATATTATTTACAACGTTAAACTTAATTTAGACTTTCTTTTAGACTAACAAAGTGTCAGGAGAAAAAAAAAAAGGTTTTTGGTGATTTTTGCTAAATGAGTAGTTGTATGGAATGAGTTTTTACTTTTAGCAGCAGGAGAATTTTATTAGGGAAAAAAAAAGTAAATAAAAGACAACCTTTTTAATAATTGCATTTTATTAATTGAAAAAAAAAAACGAAAATAAAAAAAAAAGCAAAAACAGTGTCATTATGCAAGACAAGGAGAAAGAGACAACAGTTCCTTGATGGTGAGGGCAAAGAAGGTGAAGGTGGGCTGATGTAGGAGGACAGGAGGCTGAGTTTTTTTTTTCTTTTCTTTTTTAAAAATCAGATGGGACATCTTGGATTATTTACATTTATTATTAATACAGATCCAGAGCAGAGGTGGTGGTGGTGTTTTTAGGGTGGGGACAGGGGGCTCATTGTAGCAGATCAGAGACACAAACACCAGAGAGAAAGGCACTATCCAGAGAGAACGAGAAACAGAAACGAAAATAAGGTGAACACAAAACAGTAAATCAAAACGCACATTGGAACGGACAAAAAAAAAAAAAAAAAAAAAAAAAAAAAAAAAAAAAAATTTAAAAAAAAAAAAAAAAGAAAGTGCTTGACCACACACCACATTAAAAACACAAAAACAAAAAAAATGTTTACATTATTTCAGCTGATCTCTCAACTCTTAGCATTAAAAAAAAAAAAAAAAAAAAAAAAATAAGATATTCCCCAATAGTTAACACCCCCCCGGCGTTGCCCGCCACTCGCTTTTTTTGACCCCCCC